TTGTATTGTTCTCTTTGGGAGAGAGTTTTCTCAAGAATTTGGGGTATAATTCTTGAGGGTTTGTAAGGTTACTCTTTGTCCTCAAAAGAAAGACAAATTAGTGAATTTGTGGAAAATCCTTAGTGTGGATAGCTAAGGTAGTGGACGTAGACTTTGGTTGAGAAAGTCGAACCACTCTAAATCGTTGTGCAAATCTTTTTAATTTTCTGCAAAAGCTTCCACAGAAATTTTTATTGCCAATTCACCCCCCTCTTGGCCGATTCCGTCAATCGATTAACTCAACAATTGGTATCAGAGCCTCACTCATTTGAAGGTTTAACCGCCTCTTGAGTAGATCCAGGAAGAGTTAAATCGATAAAGATGGCGTCCAATTCCGGTTCATTCTCCATGGAAAAATCCAGACCAATTGACGTGCCTCCTCACTTCAATGGAACAGATTATCGTCGTTGGAAGAGGTGTATGATGATATTCATCAAAGCTTTTGATATGGAAGCTTGGATGATCAAGAAAGGATATTCCTCTCCTACTAAGAAGGCAAAGAAGTGGAGTGTTCAAGAACGGAATGAAGCTCAACAAAATCAAAGGCTATGCACATGTGTGTGCAATTGATCCTAATGTATATAAAGTTTCTTCTTGTTCAAGTGCCAAGGAAATGTGGGAAAAGCTTGAGGAGATCTATAGAGACGAGGAAAAAGAAGAACCAATAAAGTGATGTCTCTATTAGCTCTCACAGAGCCAAAGGTATCTTCTAACTCAAAGATTAAATTCAAATCCTTTAGTGAGTTACAATATGCTTATAATAAATGTGTTTCGGAGTTTGAGACCATGAACTCCAATACAATAAATTGATTTCTAGATTATAGCTAAAAATGAGTTTATTTTGAAAGCTAAAACAGACTTGGAAAATCAAAATGAAATGTTGAAAAAGGAGTTAGAGCTTTCAAATAAAATCTGAAAACTTTGAAAAAGAAATTTTCTAATTAATAACCTTCTTTTAGAAATCAAAATGGATTTGAAAAACAAAATGAAATGCTGAAGAAGGATTTAGAATTTTCAAAAATGAAGTTTGAAAATATTGAAAAAGAAAATTTCGATTGAAAGTTAAGCTTGAATGCCTAACAAAAGAAAAAGAAATCATTCAATAATTCAAATGACAATATGCTCACATTGTCATTATCATGGTCGTAAGGAACATACTTGTCCTTTAAAGAAAGGAAAACGATTTAAAATTAGACAAGTATGGGTTCCAAAAGGAACAAGAGGGATTGAAACTAATGTTCAAGGATCCAAAGCAATTTGGATACCAAAATCCACCTAAATGTCTCTTGTAGATGTGTGGGAGCAATGGTGATGAAGATGATGATATTCAAGATGCTCTAGCCACACATGAAAAGGAATGGGTAACCTCTAAACTTAATGTATATTTTATTTGTTGCTCATTTAGTTTGTGCATACATGAGGTTTTAAATGTTGAATAATTTTTGATTTTGCACAATTGTTTTATTCTCATGTATGTTGAAAATATTGTTATGATGAACATTTTAAGTTATATTTATTTTTCAGAATTTTAGTTCAACATAATAAAACTTGGTCAAAATTTTAACGTATTGATATTCATTTAGACCATTGATAAATTTTCAACAATTTGATTTTTGACCTAAATTTTGTTTTAATGTTTATGCAAGTAATTTCAAAGTTTTAATGATATCTCTCTAAATCGATATCAATCTTTAATGCATAACATCTTTATAAAACTTTATAAAAAAGAGAAAACAACTCTCAAGAAAACTTTCTAAATTCTCTAGTATTGGGAGAAAGCTAGAATGTTTTGGGATGGTTTTGAAGCTAAATGGGTTAGGGTTTTTATAGTTGAAACTTAAGGACTAATCTTGAAAATACCCTAAAGTACAATGACTAAATGTGAGATTTTACCATTGCCAAAAATAATAATTTTGATGAATCATTGCTGCCAACTAATGCACTTTATTATTGTTGCCAATTAATGCACTTTCGGTGCATTATTGAAACCATTTTGGTGCTTGCATGGCTGGCAACTTTCAATATAACATAAGTTCGAAAGTCAAGTTTTTGAAAAATAATGTGAAATGGCATCAACTTGCAAGAAAAAAGTAGTATTGATAAAGTTTGATTTAAAGATGATGATGCAACATAAATGTTATCTCTGTATCCTCATGTGGTTGATCAAATATAAATAAATTTTATAAGATCAAAAGTTCTATATTGGAAAAAAACTTGAAAGAGAATGAAAGGACGGATTAGTTACTCAATTTCTTCTCCTTAATCCTATCGTGTGATAAGATATTAAGAGAAAATAATTATGATTTTTTATAATATAATTATTTTTATTATTTTTACTTTTTTTTAGTTTTAACTCAAATTCTTTTATGATTAATTGGATTTAGTTTTTTTTTTGTTTACACCTATATTTTATCTAATAAATTTAACTATATTCTCAATTTAGCCATAAAATATTAGATTGACTCTCATATTTAGTCTCAAAAATTTGAATCATTATATATTTGATATTGTTCTCTTCGATTAAGCCAAAAAATCTAAAAAAGAAGAAGAAAAAACATCTAAAAACAAATATTTCAATATGTAAATTGTGAGGATGGAACGTATTTTATATAAAAAAAAAGCATAATGACAAAAATAATACCTAACGCTTGATTATATGATCATTTTCCTCTATATATTTATATATATTGAAAATTTTGGTTTCTAACGTTGCATTTGGAGATAAAAAAATCTCTCACATAAATGAAAATCATTAGTTAACAAATGGTCAATTCATGAAATTGAGTCAACATGTACACTTAATATATTTAATATTTAATAATCTTATATATAAATTATTGTTTAGTACATTATCGCTGAAAACAATAATTTATAAACACCCTTATATACTGACTAATATCCTTAGAATATATTTAAAATTTTTAAAATTAAATAACTAAAATCTAAATATATTATGAGAGTTCGTTGAATTATCTTTTTATTAACAATGCACCAAATAATTGTTCAGATTTTTATATTATTATAAGTTGATATTTTCAGCTTTATTTACTCTATTCAAAATACTAAATCAAGATTTTTTTATTTTACTTAAAATATTAGTACATTCCATTAAATTAACTTATTGTTAATATAATCTACAATGCACCAAATAATTGTTCAGATTTTATATTATTATAAGTTGATATTTTCAGCTTTATTTACTCTATTCACAAATACTAAAATCAAGATTTTTTTTATTTTACTTAAAATATTAGTACATTCCATTAAATTAACTTATTGTTAATAATTATAATCTTAAAATAATTATATACGTATTTAATTGATTGATAAATTTCTAAATGTGTCCTTATATCAATGGAATATATATTTTATCTCTCTCTCTCTCTCTCTCTATATATATATATATATATATATATATATGCATAAATTGGCGGTGTGGTATTTATGGCCAAGTGGTAGAGGTCTGTCAAGTCTTGTCTCCTGGACCCTGGTAGCGTCAATTTTTAGGTATTCTCCAAATTCCATGAGTCGTATAAGTTAAGGTTGTGGTTGTCGTTGCATGTAGGGCTTTGGTTTCAAAGCCACAGCTACGTGTGTTGCCCGTACTGGGCCACGTATGATTTGGTGGACTCAAACCCTTCTTTGCACGATTATTATCTCAGATGTTGTACCTTTCATTCATTATACGTGATTGTTAATTTGGATTGTATACTCAAACTTTGTTATACGTGAATTCAGGATGAACTGTTCTGGTTATTTTTTTGTTTGGGGTGAAATTAAAAAATTAATCTTTAATTTAAAAAAATTTAAAATTATGTAATATAAATTTTAATTAATTTTTTTTGAAGTGTAATTATTTATTAGCATTAATATAAAAATTCAGTAATTACAATTGACACCTTAATAAATTTATGGACCTTATTATTTTATTTCATAATTTTTTTAAATATTAACTTATTTACAATTTTTTTTAAAATTTCTTATAAAAATAAAAAATATATATTAATAATTTTTTGTAATTTGTGGGCCTTAGGCGAGTACCCTTTTGCCCTGGCTGAAGACCAGCCCTGAGTAATTTTAAACATTATAAATTTAAATGTTAAAATTATTATTTTATAAAAGTTTAAATAATCAATTTGAATATTCATTATTGGTATATGTATTATTTATATAAATATAAATTACAGGTTTAGATATATAAATTTTACTGAGAAAAGTATGAGTGTGTCAAAATATTATATCATTCATTGTGATATTAAAATGATAATAACAAAGATGATATAAATAATTAGCAACATGAACGAATTCATAAAATTATAGAGACATTAAAATTTTGGAATTAGAGAAAATCGCACAATTTTAATATATTGTGTACTTTTTTTTCTACTATTAAATTTATTACAAAGATTTCTTCTATATCTTTTACATTTTTTAAAATTATTTCCAAAGTATATAGGAAATAATATCAATATAAATAAGGTAGTATTTGTTAAAAAAAATTGATCTATTGATAATGTACATATATTTTGTAGATGTAGTTACTTTAATCTAAGTCTTTAAAAGAGATTAACATTATCTTTTTATCATTGAGATCATTTAATAGATTTATTTAGTTTTATTATTTCTATATAAAACTTTGAATTATGGAGATTAACATGAACTTATCTGTATTAATTATGATTAACAATTGTCTTTTTGTGCACAAGGTTTTGTTTGGTAACATAAAGGATCCCCACAAAGAATAATTAAGCATCAAATATTTAATTTAATTTATACTTTTACCAAATACTGACGTCGGGCTAGGGACAACAATTACAATAATATTGTTTAATATTAATCACATAAAATAAAAAAATATTATTTAATAAATTAAAGTTAAGTATAAAAATAAAAATATGTGGGAAAATGATCCTATATGACGTGGCACATAGTACGCCAAATAAAGCAAGAGCCACTGATATACAATAATCACACATACTTGCCGTTGTCTCCTACCACTATCAGTTGGATACATTGGAGAGAAATGGCGGAGGAAAAGGTGAAGCTGGTGAACGGTGACGGCGTCGGAGGTGGAAAGGGAATCGTGGAGGTGAACCCCAAGCCCCAGAAAGGGCTAAGTGCGACGCTGATTGACTGGTTTGAGCAGTTGATAGTGAAATTTATGTACGATTCTTCTAAGCCTCAACACTATCTCTCCGGTAACTTCGCGCCTGCTCCGACGGAAACTCCACCCACCCAATATCTTCCCGTCAAAGGCCATCTCCCTGTAAGCTACGATTGATTGCTTAGCTAAAACTGATTGTAGTTTTGGATTACTTAATTAAATGATTTAACTTTTGTTTCAATTGTCTATTCGTTGTATGCTACTAATAGATGTTTTTCCAGGAATGCTTGAATGGCGAATTCGTAAGGGTTGGGCCCAACCCCAAGTTTGCCCCTGTTGCTGCATATCACTGGTATGTGAATTTCCAACTCATATGGTTTTCTTGTGGATTGAATATTCGATTTTTTATTTAATAACCATATAACATCACATCTAATTCTTTCTATATTTAATTTTTTATTTATGTTTCTTACAGGTTTGATGGAGATGGGTATGTTTACCTTGCTTTATATAGGATCAGTTAATTTCTTTGCAAATTTGGATTGTAAACATAAATGGGAACCCTGTTTGTTGATTGTGGAATTGACAGAATGATTCATGGTATGCGCATCAAGGATGGAAAGGCGACATACGTGTCTCGTTATGTCAAGACATCACGTCTTAAACAGGAAGAGTATTTCGGAGGGGCAAAATTTATGAAGGTGTATCTTGCAAGTTGCCTTCTTGACTAAATGGTTGAACAAGTTTTCAACTGATTAATTATGATTAATGAAATTTATTATTATTATAATGCTAGCAAACTTGTACCGGCTATGTTTTTATTTCTCTGAGCAGCTTCTAATTGGTGGGGCATTTTGAAAACTAAACAATAATGACACGACGTGCGAAATTAGAAGCATTAAATTTAATTTTAACTGCAGAAAACCCCTATGGTCAATGCTTGACATGTCGTTATCTTCTTCTTGAATATGATCTTTTTCAGGTCGGAGACCTTAAAGGATTATTTGGACTGCTCATGGTCAATATATATAAGCTGAGAGAAAAGGCTAAAGTGTTAGATCTATCATACGGGAATGGGACTGGTAAATTTTTTTTATTCTGTTTCTGCTATTTGCAAAGATGATGAAATGGACTGCATTTAATATTCCCTTATATGCATGATGTCTCTGATGCATTTGTGCTTTCTGTCTATTTAGTGCTAGTATTTGTATACCCTGGTGTCTGTTCCATATATTGAAAGTAAAGATACGGGTGAATGGTTCTAAGATGAGTGTTATTTCTCCAAACCTTCGAAGGAAGGAAATGCTGGTAGAACACTGAGTGAATGAGAATGGATTATGTATTACTTCTTCATTCTGATACATGTGATGATCTAGTACATTCCCAGGTGGGGGCTCCAAAATTTATGTGTCCCTCAACTTATTCCATAAATCCTTCACAGTGTCAATGCATCTCGTAAAATGGAATCTGAAAAAATCTCACCCTTTCCTTTTCGTTGTTGCTCATTACTGGTAGTTGGCCTGCTTTAAAATGTTTGTCTTATTGTTGTGACTCTGACCTGGCATACCGTCATTTGAACAGCTAATACAGCTCTTATATATCACCATGGGAAACTTCTGGCACTTCAAGAGGCAGATAAACCTTGTAAGTTTGTCTTCTCTCTTTTGATTTTCTTTCAAGAAATAATTAAGAAGGTTGAGGATGCTAACCTTCACATCTATTACGATTCTTATTATTTTCTTATTTGGGTTCTCTTTTTTTTTTTACTTCGATGAAACTTCGGTATTAAATTGTAGTCACTTTTACAACAGATGTCCTAAAAGTTTTGGAGGATGGCGATCTCCAAACTCTTGGCATGCTTGATTATGACAAGCGATTATCACATTCCTTCACTGCTCATCCGAAGGTTGATCCAGTCACTGGTGAGACCTATTATTTAAAAACGAGATAAGTTATTAGTTACCGAGTGGTAAAATGCTTTGGATTTATGATATTTCTGTATACAGGTGAGATGTTTACTTTTGGCTATGGACACGAACCTCCTTATATTACATACAGAGTTATTTCAAAAGATGGTTTCATGCACGACCCAGTACCAATAACAATAGCAGATCCAATCATGATGCATGACTTTGCAATTACTGAAAATTATGCAATTTTCTTGGATCTTCCTTTGCATTTTAGACCAAAGGTATGTCACCTTCAATAGAGCTTTGTGTTTATTTTTCTCTCAGATACCTGTTTTCAAACCCTTGTACGAGGTTAATATTTGACTTGGGTTCCTAAAATGTTGTCTGGTTCCTCCTTGAAAACTTTTATTTTGGTGGGTAACTAAGACTACTTATGTGACATAATGGAATCTTGGCTTCTGTCATTTTTGTTGAGAATAATAATTGCATCTTGGAACTGTTGACATTTAAATTTTCAGGAAATGGTTAAAGAAAAGAAGCTGATATACTCATTTGATGCTTCAAAGAAGGCTCGTTTTGGTGTGCTTCCACGATATGCAAAAGATGATCGCCTAATCAGATGGTTTGAGCTTCCTAATTGCTTTATCTTCCATAATGGTATTGTATTCGTCTTGTTGTTTTTCTTTTACCCACAAAAACTTTCTTCTGTTGGTAGTTTGAGTTTACAAATATTCAATGCATGGCCTTTTACATATTCTCACTGGTAACAAACACATCAAAGTCAGCTATGCAAGACCTGCCCAGGGACTTCTTGATACCAAACTTAGCTTCAGGTTTCTTCATTTTTCCATAATAGAAAGGAGTAATTGCTAGAAAATGATTTTTATTGACACATTTTTTATCAGTTTAATTGAAATGGTTGCATTATTTCTTTTTAACAATTATCTAGGACAAGACAATTCCGCAACTTCCTCAACTCAATCCTTGATGTTTCAAGTCTTTTCTTTATTTCTCTTAGGAATTCAATCCATTAGTTAAACTTACTATAAGTACGGCTACCAATGGAAAGGGCATATAAGTCTTCTTTGAAACATAACTTATTCTCATTATATTTCTAAAAAAAACTATTATATGCTTAATATTTGATCTTTGAGCATGGAGGGGCTAGAATCTTACTGCTTTTGTTATGTTCTGTTACTAGCGAATGCTTGGGAGGAGGGAGATGAAGTTGTTCTGATCACTTGCCGCCTTCAAAATCCAGATCTGGACATGGTCAATGGGGAGGTCAAAGATAAGCTTGATAATTTTACAAATGAGCTGTGAGAATTCTGACCTATTATGAGAATATGCAATGGTTTTGTAGAGAAAGTTGTTTCTCATTCTTATCATGTAAATCAGGTATGAGATGAGATTCAACATGAAAAGTGGTTGTGCTCTACAAAAGAAATTATCTGCTTCTGCTGTAGATTTCCCCAGGGTGAACGAATACTACACTGGCAGGTAGGTAATCTGAAAACATGCAAAGGAGCATACCTTGCTGTATGATATGCTTATCTTCTTTGATCAAAGTTTATACCTTACTCTTTTTCTTCTCTCTCTTGTGTGAATTTAGGAAACAAAGGTATGTGTATGGAACCATTTTGGACAGCATTGCAAAAGTCACAGGGATTGTGAAATTTGATCTGCACACGGAACCAGAGGTCGGAAAAACAAAGATTGAAGTTGGGGGAAATGTTGCAGGGGTCTTTGACTTGGGTCCTGGTAGATTTGGTTCAGAAGCTGTTTTTGTGCCTTGTGAACCGGGGACCACTGGTGAAGAGGATGATGGCTACTTGATATTCTTTGTACATGATGAAAATACCGGGTATGTCTGTCCCTTACTCTTGCTATTTAATTTATCGTTTTCATTTTACGCTTTATGTATGAGTGAGAACTGAAAAGGAGAATCGCTACTACTCTCAATTTGATAGGGTCGCATCTGACTATTGTTTTTGACTGAACAGAAAATCTGCAGTGAATGTGATTGATGCAAAAACAATGTCAGCAGATCCTGTTGCGGTTGTCGAGCTACCCCACAGGGTTCCTTATGGGTTCCATGCATTCTTTGTGACAGAGGTTAGTATGGTCTATAAGAGTGGGATAATAAACAATTTTCATCAAGAGATGATAAAATCTGTCTGCATTTTTGATTCTGTGATCTTATCTTTACTCTTTTGCTTCCTGTGGAACAGGAACAACTTCAAGAGCAAGCAATATAGAAATGGTTGGGATTTTTCTTTTCGGCCAGCGGAGGAATGAAGATATGCAATTGCCTTTGTTTAATAGACAGACATTATAATATATATCCTGTAATAATAATGCCTCTCCAGTATACAGAAATATTACCTGTTTGCGCATGGGTAAAAGATACTATAATTTTTATATATCCGATGTTGGATGAGGTTTCTTCATTTGTATTGAGTTCTTAGGGCCAGGGGTTGATAACTTTCATAGGCCTACACACACTGCTCATTCTTCCCTAAAGTTATCGAGTGTGTGATGCATATACCAGTACCACTGGCTTTTAGGATCATAGTAACCCAAAATTTATGATATTGCTTTGCATTTACCTTTCTGACTGGCACGACATAGTGGGAGTGATGAGAAAAGCCGACACCACAAACTTTGTTAGCAAGAGCATGCATTGTTGAGGGGTTATTTTTTAAGGCGATGGGTGTGACAAAATAGTTAAAATGAAGTGTCGCAGAGAGAGAGAGATGCCGGGGAGGAAGATGAGATGGTAGAAAGGATGGATGGCTTAAGTAAATAAAAGTTATGCTGAAAATTGTGGTGGTTATAATGATTGTAGAAAGGATTTGAAGAGAGAATAGAGAATTCAAAGAGTTTAGGTTCGTCAAATTTTCTTGAATGAACTGTTTCATCTTCTATTTGTAGATCACTTTATGTGTAGATGCAAATACGTCTCTTGTTCAAATAAACGAGTTAGTAAATAAATTTTTAAACGAGTTTGTTTGTGAATATAAAGGAATCGAAGACATGTTTTTGTTTGTTTATTAAATGAATATAATTTTTTTGTTCATACTCATTTATTTAACTTAATAAACTAACATAAATTTTTTGTTCATGAATAGTTTCATCAAATATTCTATACATATAAACACCATTGTCGGCAATTAATGATAAACACTAACATAAAAGTATATATAATAATGATTGCTTGTTAACAAACTGATATTATCACAACTTAATCGCTACTCATTTGCAAGGATTGTGAGCATCTATTAATCTTCGACTCGAAGGTCCAAAGCATGAATAAATCAATATGTAATGAAAAAAAAGTTAACTAGATCTGAGTAAATGACAAATCTAACCCTAAATAAAAATGTACTACAAAAGCAAACAAATAACCTGCTATAAAAGTAGATAAAATCACTCATTGTTCTCGTAAAAAAATTTATAAGAGTTGAAAAATAATAAAGAAAAAAAACAAACCAAAGGTATAAGATAAAAAATAAAGACTTATTTTTAACGTATAAATAAATCCTAACTCATATATAATACTTATTTTCAATTACATCGACAGATCATATAAGGTAACATATATAAATATTAGCATAAGATATATTTTTAATATATATTAATTATTTATATTTATAAATAATAATAAGTATTAGCGGAGATAAATTTGAACTTAGACTTCAATTTTTTGAACCAGAATGGGCCTAGCCCAACACATGAACGGGTCCGGGAGTTGGAGTGTTGATGAAGGAGCTCGTAGTTGCTCTGTCAGTATCGTTTCTTCTAAGTAAATACATTTCCGTGCTTAGAGCAATTATTTCCCTTTAATCATTCCATTGGTGTCTTCAGCTCTATTGTAGTTGATGGAGCTCGATTCACCAAATAACAGGCGGTATTGACTGTTTTTGCCCAAAATGATTTTTCTAGGTCTGCAACTCTTAACATTGCTCTTGTTCTTTCTAACAAGATTTTGTTCATCTGCTCTGCCACTCCATTTTGTTGAGGAGTGTTCGCCACTATGAATTGTCTTTTGATGCCTTCTTTCCTACAAAAGTCATCAAATTCTTCACATGTGTATTCTCCTCCATTATCTGTTCTGAAACACTTGATCTTATTTCCATAATCAAGTTCCACCCGTGCTTTGAATTTTTTAAAAGTTGAAAACACGTATGACTTCTTCTTAATAGGGTACACCCAATATCTCCTAGAGTAGTCATCAATAAATGAGACAAAGTATTTTGCTCCGTATAGGGATGTAACTGGTGCTTGCCATACGTCAGAGTGAACCAATTCTAGAACACTTTTGCCTCTAGAATTTGATGTGTTGAAATTAAATCGGTGTTGGTTACTTGTTATACAATGCTCACATAAAGTAAGTGATACATTTGTTAAGCCTGAAAATAGCTTTTGCTCCACAAGGACTTTCATTCCTTGTTCTGACATGTGTCCAAGTTTCTGATGCCATAGTGTTGAAAACATTTTGATATTTCGATATAACAAATTTAGTTAAATGAATTTTAAGATTTTACAAAATGATTTTCTAAGTATATTCGATATAATTATTTGAATATCAAAACATTATTCAAAATATTTCAAAAATCATTTTTAATCCTTACTTAAGTGTAAAAATAAGTTTTAATCTTAAAACAATTTCAAAATAATCTTTCAAAGTATTTCGAACCATTTCAAAGCCAAAAATTCCAGATTGCTCAGAGGGAACCGATTCCCCCCCCAAGGGGGTACCGATTCCCCCCTGAAGGGTTTGGCTCCGAGATTTCCAGAATGCTCGGAGGGAACCGATTCCCCCATAGGGGGTACCGATTCCCCCTGTTCAACGGTCGAAATATTTGAATTTTATACTTAGGGAACCGATTCCCCATAGGGGGTACCGATTCCCCCACGCTCCAAACTGTTTTATTAATTGTTTTCACACTAAAACGGCTATATGATCTTCACTAATCATCCCCAACGTTCAGAAGAGATTCAAGGTGTATTTAAACAAGTTCTGAAGCCCTTGATCAACAAGAAATTATAGAGAAACAAGAGAGAAAGCATCAAACACCAAGTTTGTGCAAATCAAGCCAATTTTCCTTTCAATATTCATTTTGCTTTCAAGAACACCATTTGTGCTCATTTGTAATTATCTTTGAGTGTTCTTTTCTTGTTCTAGAATTGTGCAAACATCTTACCTTGTGAGGTTTTCTTGTAAGTTTGCAAATTTGTAATCTTCTCTTTGGGAAAAAGAGTGTTCTCAAGAGTTGGGGTATACTCTTGAGGGATTTTGTAAGGTTATCTCTTTGGCCTCAAAAGAAAGAACAAATTAGTGAATTTGTTGGAAAATCCTTAGTGTGGATAGCTAAGGTAGTGGACGTAGACTTTGTTTGAGAAAGTCGAACCACTATAAATCGCTGTGCAATTACTTTCAATTTTTCTGCAAAAGCTTCCACGAAATTTTTAATTGCCAATTCACCCCCCTCTTGGCCGATTCCGTCGATCGATTAACTCAACAATTGGTATCATAGCCTAACTCATTTGAAGGTTTAATCGCTTCTTGAGTCAATTCGGGAAGAGTTATATCGATTATTAAAGTCATCAATGGCCTCCGCTTCAAACTTCGACTCTGGTCTCGATTCGATGCCCGTCAACAAGCCTCCTTTCTTCAATGGAGCTAACTATGCCTATTGGAAGAATAGAATGATGTACTTCATTCAAGCAAGTGACATGGGAGCATGGAATGCTGTAGAAGAATGATACATCAAACCTCTCACTCATCCAAGGTTGTGGAGTGAAGGAGAGACAAGAATGTTCCAGCTCAACTCCAAAGCCATCCATATTATTTTTTGTGCTCTTGGACCAGATGAATACGGAAGAGTTTCATCGTGTACAACCGCCAAAAAAATATGGGACAAGCTTCAAGTCACACATGAAGGTACAGATGAGGTAAAGAAATCAAAAATTAGTATTCTAACGCATAGCTATGAAAATTTCAGGATGAAACCAAATGAAAACATCAAAGCTATGACGGATAGATTTTCAACGATTGTCAATGGTCTCAAATCATATGGAGAGATCATCTCAAATGAAAAGCTTGTGAGGAAGTTAGTCTACTCCCTCCCAAAATCATGGCAATCAAAGAAGACGACAATCATCGAGTCTAAGGACCTATCGTCCTTAACTCTTGAAGAACTTATCGGTTCACTCCTCACTCATGAGATGATGCTTGAAGATGAGGTGGACCTTGATAAAGTTGAAGAGACACCAAAGGAAAAGTAAAAGAAGAAAAATATTAGAGTTGCTCTCAAATCCACAAAAGATGAGAGTGATTCTAATAATGATGATGATGACGAGGAAATGGCATTGTTTGCCAAACGGTTCAGAAAAATGATGAGACCTTACCAAGGAAGAAAATTCAAACGAAATGAAGGTCTAAAAAATGAACCAAAAGAGAAGGACCCAATCATTTGCTATGAATGCAAAAAGCCGGGGCATGTCAAATATGATTGCCCACAATTGAAGAATAAGGGTCAATCAAAGAATAAGCACAAGGCTCATGTGGCTACATGGAGCGATGAAGAAAGTTCCGATGAAGAGGAACAAGAAGTAGCAAACTTGTGCTTGATGGCATTCGGGGAAGATTCTAAGGTAACCTCTAACTCATCCGATTTTGATGATTTATCTTATGATGAGTTATTTGAGGAGTACAATGGGTTGGCTTCGGATTATGAGAAATTGTTTTTAAAATATAAAAATGATGTTTCAAAATTGAAAAATGAAAACAAACTCATATCCAAAACCAATAACGATCTTGAAAGTAAAATCAAAGATTTGCAAATCAAACTAGAAGAGTTTGAAAAGAAAAATTTAGATTTGCAAAATTTACTTTTAAAGATCAATGATGATCATCAAAAGAAAATTGATGATCTTAAAACTTCTTTTGATAAAGTTGGAATAAAACATTTTGAAAAAGGTGGAAATTCAAAATCCAACTTTGTTAGAAAAAGTTTTAGAAACTACAATCATAGAGGTCCCCAAAGAACCTCTAATGGAAAAATCATTAGAAGTATGTGGGTTCCTAAAGAACTTATTACTACTAAAGATAAAAATATCCTACACAAATGGATACCTAAGGGGACTAGGATTTTGGAAACTAATGAATATGGACCCAAAAGAATTTGGGTACCAAAAATCAAAAATTAATCTATGTTTGTAGGGAAAGGAGCATTGCTACAAGGCACGGGAAACAAATTCAAATTCATGGTACCTTGATAGTGGATGCTCAAGACATATGACCGGAGACAAAAGCCGGTTTATTGAGCTTAACGCCAAAAATGGAGGAGAAGTGACTTTTGGAGACAATTCAAAAGGTCACATTGAAGGTATTGGTACAATAGGTAATACCTCTTCCATACAAATTAAGAATGTTTTATATGTG